TCAGAGATATGATGAAACAAAAAGGATTCAAGTTCTGAAGATTGCCATTGAAGACAACCCATCATATATGCTAACAAAGTCTCTTCCTAGAGCTAAGTTCAAGCATTGCTTGGACTTGATCAATTTTTCAAGTTGATTGAAGCATGAATGTGAAGAGTAGCTCTGAAGGTTAAAGGGTTCTTCTTTTGATTTTTTTTAAGAGCTAAGGTGGAGATTTGTTGATTTGTGTGACTCTCAAAAAAATCAGTTTCTCAACTAACTTCTTTTTTTGTTAGTTGGCTCCTAAAGTTGTTATGATTCTGGTTTGATCATGGTTCCCTTGTATTCTGCGTATATTTCTTTTCTTATTATCTTTCTCTTTTGTATGTAATATAAATACAAGTCAGATTGGTGAGTGGGTGCGTGATTAACAAGTAAGGGTGAAAGTTACAAGGAGTGTTAGAACAAAGTGAAGGTTCTTGTGTGACTTGTAACTTGCGATGCTTGAAGATCATAGTGAAATATTGCTGCTCTTCCCGTGGATGTAAGCCTCAAGGCAGAATCATGTGCAACTTGGTGTCCTTATTTTTTTTTTCTCTCATCTTTAATTTTTGCATTCTATAAACAAATTCTAGCATATATGTGTGCACCAATATTTTGTTGTTCTTGTATATTTTAATCTTCTTGTTAGGTGTTAGAAGCTTAAGGACCAACAACATATATTTAATATTTCATTATTATGTAAAATGACCATCAAAATGAAATATTGTTTTTAACTAAAACGTCAAACATTGAATGGACAAATCAATTAAAAAAAATTAATATATCTATATTTATATTCATATTATTAATAAAGTGGATTGTTTCATTTGATATAAATATTTTTTGGATAATTTTATTCTTACATATATCTACTTCTCAAACTTTTTTCTCTCTTCACAATTTTTTAAAAACTACCTTTACAATTACAATTATTCAAAAACTGTTGAAATTCTAGTTATTAACAACTTAGTTTTATTTCATTTATATTTTTATAAATTACATGGAAGCACAAAGTGTTTTTTATTTTACACTAGTAAGAGATAATCTAGATTGGTTCTTAAAAAAATTAATTTAATTTTTATATAGAGTAAAATAAATCAATGTTAAATGAATGCAACACAAGTATTTATATTATTAATAAAGATTTCATGTATGATAAAGTTGTTTAAGTCTTTTTACTCCTATTAGTTAGGATCTAGGATTGAGTTTGACTCCCCTCATATTTTATATCATTTTAGGTGGACTTATACTGGGATGTGATAGACAATTTATAATTTCACTAAAAATTTTCAAAAAAATTAATGATTGATTCTGACCTTAAATACATATTTTATTGGTCATTTTATTTTTATAATTTTCAAAACACATTTCTTTTCTGTTTGACCATTTTAACATAAGGAAATCTATTGTGATGATGTCCAAAAAGACTAAAAGAAATAGTTGACTTTATCTCATATATACATATATAAGATTAAAAAGATAAATAAAATAGTTATTAAAACCAGAAAAAATTGATAAAAAAACAAAAAATGAATTTAATTTTTATCACATTTTCTCGTTGCAATCAGTCCACGTACATAATAATAATTAATACATTAAATTTTATCGTTTTATTATCCAACATAACAAATTGACCAATTTCAACTAACATTAAATAATAATAGTTTATATATATATATATATATATATATATTTA